ACAATTCCTCCATCACTCGAGGATGCTGCTGCAGCGTGGTGGTCGTCGGTTTCCTCAGAAATCACGGCATTGTTATGTGGCGGACGTTGATAGGCCTGCTTAGCCACATAATGCGGCTGGGATTGTCTCTCGTTAGCGGCCTTGTCGTCCGTTTGGATGACCAAGTTCGCTCGATCCAGAATGGCTTGGAATGTGGTATAGTCGTACTCATTACCGAGTGCCGACCGCAATCCCGCGCATGATCACGAGAAGAACTCGGATCGTTGATTTGGAAACGTCAAGTCGAAGCCTGGTGTGGTCACTATCTTCTGCCACTTCGTTGTCCAGTCTCGAGTTGGCATGTTCCCTAGGGAGCATGTGTACACCTCATTCATGGCCGCCTTCACGACGTTGCGGACCATGAACCGGGTGAACCATAGCTGCTCGAACTCCTTCCACGTGATGTGCGTGTGGAGTTCGGCGATGGTGCACTTGTGGGAAGCCGTCAGGTGGTTCATCCATGCCTACGCTCCTCCAATCAGTTGCAAATAGAGTGCCTTCAACATGTCGTTCGCCGGGACAGTGCGGCATGACGCTTCCGTGAGGAAACGTTGCCACCATATCAAAGCGTCCGACTTGTTGTAGTCGTCGAACTTGCAGATGTCGAAGTGCGGCATCTTGAACGTCTTTGTAGCGGCGTCCGGTCTCGTCTGTAGCTTGGTGATGTTCGTCTTCATGGTGGCCACCGTGCTGCTGATCGTGTCCGGTCCGTTGAAAACACCTATGTCGCCGATGATGGTGACGACGTGATCGATGCGTTCGTTGATTTGCTTCGTTGCGTCCGTCGTGCAGCCTGGTGCTGCTGAGGCCTTGGCCTCAATGCCGTTGATGCGTGCGATGGTAGAGTTCATCAGCTGTTGTTGTTGCTGCTGCTCAATTGCTGCGTCGCGGACGCCGGCCGTTACAGCGGCCAGGTCTTGTTGGTACTGCTGTCTTTGCTGTCGTTCCACGTGCAGGTGTGCCTGCAGTAGTTTGTTGTTCCACATTACTCCCCTCATTACGTTCAACATCACGTTAGCCAGGTTACTTCTCTCTGCCTCCGCCTGTGTCGGCTCCGCCTGCGTTTCCGTAGGCACAAAGATCATGCCTTGGCGTATCGTTGTCCACTGATGCTCACTAGCAATCAGGGACTCCGTGCTGGCGGCATTCCGTCTGTTTCGTGCCGCTTCGTCAGTCTCAGCTGTCCGCTAAGCTTCGGCTACCGCCTCATTGGCCAGCCGCTGACGTTCTGCCTCTGCCACAGCCTGCTGAGCCTCGGCGGCGGCTACGGCGTCTGTAAATGCCTGTAGCCGCCCACGATAGTCAGCCAAAGGCTCGCTAGCCTCTCGGACCAGGCATGTGGGAAGATCTCCGGTGGTGTCTTGTACTGTCAATGTCGTACTTTATGCCGCTGGAGTCGTCCGTCTTCTGAATCTCTTGTGTCTTGGAGGTACCGCAGGGCGGGCACGAACTGCGATCCTGGCACTTCGCCATGGCAGTGCCCCGGTGTCCTGTTCCATCGACATCAGTCTGAACTGATGCGGTACTTGAGAGGTGCCGGTGTTCACAGATTACAGGGGGGTAGGGAGAGTGGGAACAGGGGTAGAACAATCAACCAATATACATACAATCCCCTGTCCCACTGTTGGACTGTAGACACCTAATCAAACAGAAAAATAAATTTCCCGTAAATCATTCCAAAATTCGTAATAAGAATTTAATAACGATTTAATCAGTAAAATTAATTAATGATAAATGACGAATTAATAATTCTTAATAATAATCCAAAAGATAACCAATAATCAATATTTGCAAAAAGATAGATCAATAACCCATTATTGCAATCATGATAATAACGAATTTGAATGGTGTTAGGATTAGGTCTCTTTGAGATCACTTGAGTCCGGGAGTTCACCGTTAATGAGTGAACTACCAGGAAGTTGCAGTTTGAGGGTCAAATACGGATTAGTGTGCTTGAAAAAATTTCGGGAAATTTCAGAAGAAAAACGCTCGAATTTTCAAAAACGTGAATTTTTGGGAATTTCCACCGTCAAAATCCGATTTTTAAAGGTCTAACCCTATTTTCGGAATTTCTCCAACAAGGGAAACGGAAAAAAAAAATTCGCAAAAATTTCGGTCCCAACCCTAATTTTCCGCGTTTCGACGAAATTTTCGGATTCACAGTCCCAAAACGTTCGAATTTCCCAAGTTGATCAAAAAACCAAAGATTTCATAACCCTAATTTCCAATACTGAAAGACAACGGAAATCCCCAAAAGAAAACGTAATATAGGATTTACAACACAATGCCGAAAAACGGAATGCTGAATGGAAGTCAGAACAACCGAATTTCAAACATGATACTGATTCAACCCTACTTACGAATTCCTAATTAGAAATCCAATCAAACAGCATGTCGGATTAGTATCAATTTATCGGAACCTAATTAAACAGCATACCGGTGTACAACAGAAATCCGAATAAAAGTCCGAATACTGAATTGAAACGGAAATGCGGAAATAACCAGAATACCGAAAAAAAGAAATTTTGCAACTTTAATCTCGATAATAATTCAGCGCCGATTTAGAAGATCAAACAAAATAATCTAATTCTAAACGGACTTACCTGGTGAGCAGATCCGTTATTGGTCTGCTCCGATACCAAAACTGTTGCATACTCCAATGAGTATGGGCAGAACCAAGGATCAACCAATGTAGGGTGAGCATATATGCAACGGAAGTCTGATGGACGGACTGACTCACATAGTATCACTCCACACACATACAATCATGAGATGGTGGGGTCTGAGCCATACATAGAAGATGCTCAGCCCCGTACACACATACACAGATGAATGGGGGAGGAGAGACGAAGAGGTGGGGGGAGGTAGACAGCACCGAAAGTCACCGAGATAGAATCTGATAGATCACCGATATAGTAGTCCAAAATGTCCTCCAACAAGATCAAAATGTCGAGGACCATAGGTCACCAATGTCGGAGATACAGAGTCCAAATGTAACCGGTGTCTGAACTGTGATGTCGCCAAGTATCAACCCCAACAATCTCCAAGTCTCCAATCCGGTAAGTACCACACTCTTATACCACCGAAGTCCAACTCTGATCTCTGTCCAACTAGTATAAATCTCTAGTCTGAAGAAGAAGAAGAAGAAGAAGAAGAAGAAGAAGAAGATGAAGAAGAAGAAGAAGAAGAAGAAGAAGAAGAAGAAGGAGGAGGAGGAGGAGGAGAGAGAGAGAGAGAGAGAGAGAGAGAGAGCTGACGAGGGAGGGAGGAGAGGTCCTCCGCTCCCAGGTACCTCAGGCGGCAATGGCCGCCGTGCTGGCTCAGTCGCCCTGCTGCTGCTCCACTTGCCGTTGCGCTAATGCTGCGCTGCCGCTGCTGCTCCTCGCTCGCTCCTTCGCTAAACTTAGCGCATCAAAACAGCGCTCTGGCACTGACCATAACGCACCGGTAGAGTGCCGGTGGTTCGATGCCTCCAAGTGAGGCTGTACCGGTACTTTATACCGGTGGGGCAGAGGCCGGCCTCAATGTTGCGAGGCCTGGCCATGCCCTGAACTGTCCAAATGGACGGTTCAGCCCCAACCGGCGGGCGGCAGCCTCAAGAGCGCCGCCAGGCCCAAACGATAATGCCGTTTGGGCCTGCCCGTCGGGTACTGGTCCAAGATCAGGCCCTGAGGGCCTGTAATACCCCAAGGTCGAGCCTTTAGGCCCTGATGTGTCCCTCCTGCCGTAAGTCGGGTCCGGTAGGACCCGTGTGGGTCGAAGATGTAACATTGTCGCACCCGACTTCACATTGATCTCACCGAAGTGCATGTTGTGGAGGAAAAGTTCGGGAAGTGTCTCGGAAAACACGGTGGCGTCGAAGGCGACGAAAGTGCCGCATATTCAATTTAGGAGCGAGAACCTGGCATGTTGTGGAAGTTGTGCAGTTCATTCGTAGGAGAGGCGGAAGGTGTGCTTTTGCTGGATAGGGCGCACGTGGGTCTTGTATGAAAGTTATTGCTTGCAGGTAATAATGCCATTGCCTGTGACGAGTCGGCCAAGGACATTGCATACTTGACAAAGTTCGTCGACATACTTGTTAAGGATGGGAGATTCGAGTGCCGCCTCGAGAAGCCGCGTGCCACACATCACACGAACAGGGATATGTGCCACAAGTTGGGACCGAAAAGACTGAAGGTGTGGGAATACCTGTTTCGCGATGCGCCGGATGGACGCCTCGATGGGGGATACATATATAGAAAAGCCAAGGTGACCGAGGCCCTCAAACATTATCACGGTGCTCTAACTGGCGCCTTCGAGACATTCGTCGCTCGATGCGAGATCTTGAGGTTTGATCTTCACAAAGATAAACTGACGTTTAAGGACTATGCAGACCTCGCTAAATCGGGTGAAGGCTTTAACCCCGTTAATAGCGAGGAAGACTCGTCGGACTCCGACCTCGAGATCGAAAAGGACACCAATACACCGGGTGGTGTGGGAAATCCGCTGCCATGGAGTACAGCGTCAAGGGATATGGACCAAGTCAATCAGAGGGATGCTCGAACTTGCCACCCACGAACAGTCTGGCCTCGGTTGTGGACTGGTTTGTATGTACGCCTGTGGAAGACGACGAAGACGATGACCTTGATATTCCTGCTCAGCCAACGAAGTTGGCGCCAGGCGATCCGATTCCTCCCAGATTTTGTGCGGATCCAAACAATGCGTATTTCTTGGATGACAAATACACTTGCACTACTGAGGACAAGTGGGGCCATGATATCATTTGGCATGACGGCATTTTCGAGCCATGTATCCAAGGCGGGGAGTGGAAAATGGCGGTGAAGTATGTCTCGAAGGGTTGGAGACCGTTTGCCAGCATGGGAAAGGACAGCTGGCTGAAGACGATTGAGCAATCAATACTACACCGCTGTCAGAAAGAGAACCCCAGGGAGAGTGAGATATTCATCGCGGCAAAAGCAAAATATTTGTTCGACGCCTTGGGAGCCACTCGGCAGTTATAGTACTCACACAAGTTTTACGAGCTGCAGTCGAGCCCCTCGTTCGGCAAGATTGATTGGAAGGTTGAGCGCGCCGCCGCGCTCGAGAGCATGGATGTGGACTCCCAAGAAGATGTCGCCTCTGTGTCGGCCACAGGGAACACGATGGGTGAACAAAGGGAAGATGGCGGGACGACGTTGGGCGTGAAGCCTCCGTTGCCAGAGGCGGGGAACACGACGCAGGCAAAAACACCATCGGAGCCATCTCTGTCGCAACGGGGGATACATCATAAGGTGAAAAAGTGTCATTCGACAAGCCGGCAGATGCGGGCGCCACATACGGGAGTCTTCTCGCGACAGGTGCGGTGTAGGCAGGCACATCGGAGATGGTGTCAGAGTCCACTGCTGGGATGGGCGTCACGGGGATGTCGTTGCATCCGCCCACATGCACTAGCAAAGGTGACGCACACTGTACAACAACACCACAGGGAGGGGTCACAGGGGATGACGGGAATGGGGGAAATGCAGGGGAGTCTCCACGTTCTCGCAATAATAAGGACATGACGACGGACGATGAGGATGGGGTAGAAGGCGGAAAGGACGTGAGCGATCCCACGTGTGCAGAAAATAAGGGGTGAGACAAGGAATGAACTTGAGGGGAATCCTCTTTGCGGGAAAATTTAATGTTTTCGTGTGTGTGCTCATTTGTTTGAAACCTCAGTTTGTGGGCGGAATTTGTTCCTGTGTACAATCGACCTGCAGACTCATTAGTGTTTAATTTCCGGTATTTGGTCTTTTAATTGTTGACAAGAAAATTGTGTGGTGAACAAGAGTGTGTCGTAGTATGCGTGTGTGTCTCTCTATATTCATCAATATGCTGCGTTGTGTATATGCATGTATGTCGTTGGGGTACAGTGATGAAAGGGGGCAGGAGTCGGGATTGATTGGTCTCGAAGTGTTGTCGTCCATCTAAGTGTAAGTTTAGCGAAACATTGATGACGTATCTTGAATACATCATTTCCTTTTAGCATGTTATGCTAAGGCACTTGCCCATGTACAAGTATCTCAAATGGTCGCCCTCCCCGTTTTTTACACCGCCCGCCCACCCGTTTCTTACTTTCCTGTAAGGGCGACCATTTTCTACACCCCTGTCCGCCTCGGTCACCGTTGTTT